AAAAGTTTAAATTCAGAAAAAAACTTTGGTGGATAGTTTTATAACCAATGTCTTCTTTGTTTTGTAATCACTCTAAATTTATGTATTTGTTTCTTGGTTTAAATAAATAAAACTAAAATTGAAATATACACTTTTTTCCATACATGGTAGGTGGAGAATCGATTACGGTAAGTGGTGCTTTAACGGTAGGTGAAGAAACGTGCTAGATCTTACAAAAAATCAATTGAAGTTAAAAGTTTTCTTTAAGTCGTGGTAGGGTAAGCCTTGACCCTAGATATCCTTTTTCTATTTTCTATTTGTAATTTATTTTATTAAATTTAAATTAATTTTATTATTAATCATAGTTTTAGTAACTTATTTGTTTAAATTTAATTAAAGTTCTTTTAAAAATTTCAAAACACTCCGTTTTACAATTTTTTTTACTGATAAAATTTCTAAAATTTATGTTAAAGTAGAAAAAAAAATTAACAAATTTAATTCAAGTAACTTTAAAATGTTCACATTACATATAACTTCATTTTAATTTCAGTTAAGTTTCAGGTAAGTTCTAGTTATAAATACTGGTCTGAATAATGCGCTTTAGTAGTTAATGACATCATACAAAAAAGTTCTTTCAAACTCGAGTTTAAATGTTATGCTTGGGTTTTCTCTTTGCCGTTAAATTTTATGCAGTAGAATTTTTTTTATAAAACGAATCAAACTTTAAACCGATTAAAAATAACGCGATCAATAAATAAACTCTTTAAAAGCCCAACTTATATTTATTTTGTTTAAAAAAAAAACTAATACTAGTGCTATAGATGTAAGGTATGTGAATTTCAAAATTATACTGGTAATTGTTAAAAAAAAAATTCTGTAAAAAATTTAATTAAAAGCCAGTTAATGCAAAGGTTTTTTAAAAAAGGGGAAAACTCAACCTAACTATGTAGAAATACACTTTAATCCCTTTAAGAAAAATCAACCGTAAACAAGTGTCCACTCATTATAAAAAATAACCGTAAAAAGAATGTTTTAAAGAAAAAAAACTAGGTTTAAAATTTAGACTTTACATAAGTATAAGATTTTAAAAAAAGGAAATTATTTTTTAATCAACATTTAAATTTAATAAATAACTTTTTTTATAACAGGTATTTTAAAATACGCAACTGACGCAATAAAACTTTTAACAATGTAAATATATTTATTTAATAAAGTTACATTTATTCAGGTTGCGCTTTTCCGTTACGCAACAAAATCTCATAACAAGGCCTAATATATATATAAGAAACTCAACAAAAAAATATAAAAATACAAATTTATTTGTTCTAGTAATCATTCACTTCAATGTTATATACTCCCCCTGATTTTGTTGTTGGTACATTGATTACTACAATCAAATTCGACAATGGTACCCATCAGACATCATCTCTCAGTGACCAAATGAAGTTTTGAGATGGACCATGAAGGTAAATAAAATAAATTTGGATATCATTCATAGTAATATCTATCCCTGTAACCGTGCCTACCTACCAAAAGGAAACATAATTACATGCAACAAAATCATTTAAATTTGGTACAACCACAAACATTGGCATAAGTGCCAATTGACATAATAGCGAAATACTAATTTGCACTTATGCCAATACTTGAAATTTTATTTTTGCCAATTCGCAGTTATGCCAGTTCGCACTTATGCCATTTTTTGTAAATGCTTTGCACTTATGCCAGTTTGCACTTAAGCCAATTCCCACTTTTGCCAATGTTTGAAAATTTGTTTCGTGCACTTATGCCAATTCGCACTTATGCCAGCAGTTCGTACTTATGCCAGTTTTTGTAACTGCTTCGCACTTATGCTAATGTTTGCAAATTTCTTTGGCGCACTAATGCCAATTCGCACTTATGCCAGTTTGCATTTGTGACAGTTTTTGCAACTGCTTCGCACTTATGCCAATGTTTGCAAAACCTTTTGGCGTACTTATGCCAATTCGCACATATGCCAGTTTGCACTTATGCCGGTTTTTGTAACACTTCATACTTATGCCAGTTCGCAATAAATAGTTCACTTATGCCATTATGCCTCCCGGTTTTTTTTACATAGTTCTGGAATATTTATCTTTTTGAAAAAAATTTTGAATTAAAGATGAGAAAGTATTTTTAGGTAAGTTAGTTAAGTAAAGTAAGTTAGGTACTTTTCCGACTATTTTTTTTACCAGGTATAGCGAGTATCCCACTTTGTCTTTCAAGTCGCCTAACACGTCGCATAAGATCTTCAGAAACTTCAAAGTACTCTGCAGCATATTTTCAAGACCAAGATTCAGGTGTAAGAGTTAATATTTGAATTTTATTTTTTAATGGTTCAACTTGAAGTTTCTCATTCATTAAAACTGTTGATTGATCAAGATCAATCAAAAGTCTTGATCAATCAAGCTTTTTTTGATCAAGATCATTTGCTTTTTTTCATCAGTAGGATGACTGAAAAAATTTGAAACCACATCAAATTAATCTATCTTTACTACATAAATACTTTAAACACCTTTGTGTATGCTTTATCTAATTTTTTTTTGCTATTATAAGTCATTGATGTAACTTTGCATGTTGATGCAAGCTTTGCAACTTTATGAACTTTAATTGGTGAGACTTCAGTTGATGATAACCAATTTTTTAACTGTTTTTTATTACAAGATTTACCTTTAATAAATTCTACATCACCATCAATTTCTAAAACTATTTCATTATCAGAAACTTCATTGTAATTTGACAGGTATTGAATACATGAATGGCAAAATTTCCATTCTGGTTTACAGTCTATACTTTTTGATTTAAGGTTAAGTGCCATTTTAAAAGTTATGGTTGTTTGACCTTAAATAAAAAAGTTTATAAGATGTAATCTCAAGCTCAGACCTCCAAATATAAGTATCTTAATTATTCTTTTCTAGATTGAAAAAATCTTTTAAACCTTGTTTTTGTAGAAAATATTTTATGACAGTCAACATCTAAAGCTTTTATAAAATTCACAAGGTTTAATTAGATATTAACCATACAATTTTTTTTTTTTTTTTTTTTTGTTAAAAAATAACTTTTTTTATCCTTGTAAAATGTCAGCAAAATCAGTTATTTACATTTATATTTATTTTAACAATTAATTGTTCAGTGAGAATATCGTATGAAATGATGTCATAGAAGAAGACCACTTTCCAATTTTTGATTTTCCATAACTTTCATATTTTCCATAGATTTAAGTATGTTTTTTTTTTTTAATAAAAAAAATATATATATATATACATTAGGATTTTTGTAATTAAATTTGCCACAGTAAAATTCTGATAAAGTTTAAGTTTCGGGTGTTAATAATATGTAAGTGTACATATTTTTAGCTTTCCACTACATGCAGGCAGAAACAAGGACCAAAAACGTTTTTTTAAATTACAAATTTTGGCAAAGTTAAAGCCGGTTGAATGATGAAATTTATAGAATGTTCATAATTTATTAAAATCTTTGAGTGGTGCAAAAATCAGCATAATCTATGAAAAAAAAAGATATTTTCATATGAAGTTACCCTTTGACCTTTTAATTAAAGTCTAAATTATTACTCATATTGTTAATTATATTTTACTTTCAACTCTTGTAATAAGAAAAGTTTATATACTACAGCTAATTCATAGCTAGGCATGCAATTTCAAAATATATCTTTTCTTGATCTAAAAATATGCGCTATAATTTTGCAGAAAAAGAAGAAAAAAAAGGAAGATGCTATGCTAAACCGTTAGTCAATGCAGCAGCACTCCTTTGCAGCAGCAGGCTATAAGATAGTTGATGTATGTACTGAAGCTTTTGCAAGTTCCTGTTTTTGTAAGATGTCATTTGTGTGTATCTAATGCTGTATTTACATATGTATTTCTCTCTCACTCTCTCTCTATATATATATGTATATATATTAGCATTCGGAATTATAAAAAATAAGGTAAACAAAAAATTGCCAACCTAAAACCATTTTTTGTCAGCATCAGGTCAGCACATAATTTTGGAACAGGGTTTGACAAATGAATAAATGTGCAAATATTTTTCATAAAATTTACAGAAAAACAAATGCCACTTTTACTGACATTTCTTTTAACGTTGACATTTGCTTTAAAATTTGAAAAAACAAATGAAAGTTTTGCCAATTTTATTTTATTCATTTTATTTATTATTATTAAAATTTTTGTTTTTCCTCATCTATTTTAATTGTTTTGTTGCATTTATTTTATTTAGAATTTAAATAAAAAGTTTGTTTTGCTTTTTTATTTTAATTATCTTGTTAGTTTAAAAAATTAAGAAAAAAACAACAACATTAGTTTTTTAAATTGTTTTGTTTACAATTTAAATAAAAAGTTTGCTATATCGTTCTTATTTTGGTTATTTTATTTTTAATTAATTTTTATAATTAGAATAAAACATTTTTTTTTTAATATTACTTAAGTTTTATTTTAATTACTTTATATAGAACTTAAATAAAACACTCTTTTTCTGTTTTTAAACTAAATTATTTTAAATTAAATTTTTGTTTTTTTAACTATTTTATTTTAAGAATTTAAATATACTTATTATTTTGTTTTATTTTTAATTATTTTATTTTAAATTAAAAAAAAAAAAAACATTTTTTGTTGTTGTTTTGAATCTATTTAAAATAAAAAATAAAATTAAGTTTTAAAATTCTGAGGTTGGCAAAAAATTACCAACCTCAGACACTGTCAGGTCAGCAACTAGGTCGACATTGCCGAATGCTGAACCTAATTTCAAAGGATTTACATTTTTCAGAATCTATCAGAATAAGCAGTACTGTAAAAAAGTAATTAATTTATTTTTAATTCATTTACATCACTAAGAATATATACAACTTATTTACTAATATATAAAATTTTATATAATATATAAAGTTTATTTTTATATTGCTATTAAGTATAATAACAATTAGTAAATTCCATGGTTTGGACAAAAAAAAGTAAAAATTCAGAAAAAGCTTTAAATATAGCTAAACTTACAGATAACATTTAGAGTTGTATTTGTTGTTATATTTCCATCACTGTTATTAGCAACACAGGTGTAATTACCATAGTCATCAAGTGTACTGTTATTAATTGTCAACAATATTTCTACAATAACATTATCCTGTGTTTCGACTAGGACTTTTGGAGAAGAGATTGTTGTACGATTGTTATTTAAAATTACCCAGTTCACTGTGAGCTTTGGATAAGCTTGCGCAGTACAATTTATAGTTATTGAGTCACCAAGATAAACTTTTACTTCTGAAGGTTGAGTTAAAAAAGATAAATTCCCTAAAGTCATAAAATAAAAACAAACTTCTGAAGAATTATTTATAATTGAATTTTTATAATATATCTTTATAATAATAAATTATAAGAATAACATAATAATGTATTATTGTAAAATAATTTTTTTGTAAAATATAATAATAACACTTAAAAAATATTATAATAAATTGATTATACAAAATGAATAAATTAATTACAATACAACTAATACGACTATAAAAAACAAATTTAAAATATTTATTTATTAAACTATATTTATAATGTCATCATCAAATATTCTAATTAATAATTAAAATTATTAAAATATGTATAAAGTTACATATATATAAAGTTACATATATATAAAGTTACATATATATAAAGTTACATATATATAAAGTTACATATATATAAAGTTACATATATATAAAGTATATAGCTACATATTTTTAATGTTCAATTTAATATTAATAATTATAAGAACTTTCATACTTTTTAAAATTTATTTTTGTTATGTTTTTGTAAAATTGTGAAATTTTATTAAAAAAAACACCTGCAAAAAAACCATTTTAAAGAAATTACATTTTAAAGAAATTTCAAATCTTTTGTGATAAAAAAGGCTTACGTCTAGCCACTAGTTGAGTGGATCCATTAACAAAACCAGAAAAATTATTTTGAACTTGACATGTATAAGTATCAAAGTCTGAAATTTTGACAGGATTAATATAAAGAATGACTTCAGCGACGCTATCATATTTATTGTACTGAATACTTTGAGTGATTTCGTACAAATCATTACTAATCAGAAGTGAATTATTTTTATACCAACTCATAACTGGAGTAGGAGATCCACGAGCCTCGCATACAAGCTCAACAGTTTCATCAGTTGCAGCTTGAAATTGCTGAGGTAAATAAGTTATATATGCAGGATCTAAATAAACAAAAACTATATTATCAACTTAAAAACTGACAGTCATTGATCAACTTGCCTTTGGCAAGCTGAAGGGCTACAAGGTATTAAAGAGATGCTTTTACTACCTAAAGAGAACCTAAAGCTTCTCTTTAAAATTTAACACATCTTTGAATTAATACTTTTAATTTCACTTTTTAATTTGGAGAAACAAGTCAAATGGAGTACTATTAGGATTGTGAAGGGCTTAAAAATTTGTACAGCACTTACGAATAAAGTGTTCTGCCATAAAAAACTTTTATAAATTTCAACTCCTAACTTTTATAAATTAATTTTTAAAGCTTATTTTAAAAGCTGTTTAAAACCAAATAGAAACTGTTACAGGGCCTAAATTAATGTAAAAAAAACTAATGATGAAAATTTTATGTAGCTTTTTCTCAACACCAACTAACATGCATGCCCACCATATTGTAAAATAGAGATTATGAAAATTTAAATTTTTGTTGAGCAGCTTCAAAACAACTAAAAATTAAGTGGATTGGGCAAGGTCATTTATATCTAATGTTATTTTTATAATTAAAAACAATAAATTAGGCATTAGTTAAGTATATATAGTTATTCTCCAAACTTTTAGCATGCAGCGTGTGTATAAAATGAGCAACTAATACAGATTTTTTATTCATCACAACTACTGCTTTTTTTAGAGAGGAAACTTAAAACTTTGTTTTTTACAATATTATGTAAGCTTACGTTTTTTACATTCACTCTAACATCTGTTGAAATTTTCTTTCACTTTTCACAATGATGTTTAAAGTTAAAGTGACATTTAAACAGTGTAAAATCAACCAAAAGAAAAAACATTAAGGTGATACAATTTTTTTTTAACTTCTGCAGAAAGGTCTGATAAATTTAATTTTAATAGAATATGCTCAAAGGAGTAATTATAATACAAGTGAAGTTGTTATAGTGCAAACAAAAAATTTTTGTTGGTGGTTAAACCGCAATGTCCCCTTATACAAGCCTTATAAGCCTTCAAGTCTTTTAATTTAAAAGTGTTTCATTACATAGAATAAACAAAATTTAATATTACAAAGTTATTAAATCCAAGCTTAATTACTTTGAAACAAATATTTCAAAGTTTGAAATTTTGATATTTTCTAATGTCTACAAAACAAACAATTTATCAATTTAAATAGATTATCAACTAGGCAAAGAGACATGAGAAAAACAGAAATTTTTGCAATTGGTTCTGAAATAAGTAGGAGCAGTTATTTGTGCATAAGTTTAAAAAGCAAGAGCAGATGAGTAAAATATCTATTTAAAAATGGAGGAATTTGAGTTTGCATCGCAAACAGCGTTTTTGAACAAAGATATAATGATATTTTAGATTGAATGCAGCATCCAAAAATGTGCAAAAATAAACTTAGATGTGCACTGCTCATTACTGTCTTCACTTGCTGATTATGCTCTATTTTTTAAAGATTTTTATCATGTTATCAAAGCACAAGCTAAATTATAGCTACCTGATGTTAATACTGACATTACCAATAAGAATTTGAAAAAAAGCATTAAAAGGATCCCAAACTCCTAACACATGTTGTGTTCATATTAAAGATAATGTTAAAAAAAAAATTTGAGCCAAGTTTTTTTGATTAAAAATATATAATGAATGCATACCGAGAAAAACTAATGTTGTTGTTTTAGCCGAAGCTCGTTTTGTCCATTTTTTTCAATAACTCAGAGTCTTTAAATTATACGTCACAATCTACAGACTTTGGCAATTCCTTTGAAGCGCATTTAATTCATAAAAGTTTTAGCATTTGATGTCACGGTAGATTTTTAAAAAAAGAAAAGTGTAATTAAGCAAAGCTGCGTTTTTCTACTTTAATTCAAAAATTACGATGTAGTAACTTTTTAACATACAGCAAAACAACTTTTACAACAAATTTTTCTAAAAATCAAAAATGATAAAAGCTTTTTATTTCATAGGAGGAACTTTTATTTTACCGCTATCTTAATAATTTTTAGATTTATATATCTTACTTATAATTCTTTTGTTTTTAAATTAAAACAAATATTAAAGCTTTACTTACCAATCTTATGATTTTCATACGAGTATTTTACATTATATAGAACGTTATGTATACGGTCTCTCGTTTTTGTGCAAGAGAGCGTAGTATTATATAATCTGAATCTTACTTATTTTTATTTAAACAATGGGAACTTTTTTCTAACTTCTCTGGTTATTTTTACGCTATGATATTTTTTGTTTTCCCGTTGAAAAAAAATATTAACAATTAATTTCATAAACTGACAGTATTAATTAGAGATATTTGATGAATTGTTAACTTTTTTTATCATAAAAATGTTTTGATTACGCTAATTTATTTAAACTGCTAAAACTGCTGATTTGGATACGGATAAAAAAGGAAATATCATTTTATAGGAAATATCCTAACTCCATACTAATTAGAACCTGTTAAGGTTATGAAAAAAAAGTACAAGAATACACTAAACAATACAGTTGACAGTAATATCAGATATGAAAATTCGTGAAAGGATATGTGAGACCCTGGTTTTGCATTAAATGTACAATTAATAGCAACACAAGTCGGCATTATAAATTTTGATTATAAGTTTACTGTTCAATATTTTATAACCATGAAATAAAAAACATGAAGTTTTTATATTTTTGCCCGTTTTATACAACTAATATTTAACAAAAATACAGACAAAATATTATTATATAATACAATAATTAACACATTAATTAATGGCAATAATTCAAGGTAAATGGTAATTTAAATTGTCAAAAAGTCATAACGCACGCCAAAAAACATATTATATTTGGTATTTCCCAATTTGTGTCGAATTTGGCATTTGTCTCTTAACATGAAAAATTAAAAAAATTTTCAAACACAAATACAAATTTTCAAGCAATTTTCTCTTCCAATTTTCATTTCTTCAAAGAAAAGTTACTATTAAACTTTTATTTATCTCATCTAAAAAAAGAACGAGTGACGCAAAAAAAAAATATTCTATACAACTCTTATTCATTCGAAGTTTAATTACGCAAAACTTTTCTTTCTCTTTTGTTCTACTCTTTTATAAAAAGAGCGAGCGATGAAATAAAAACTTTTCTTTCTTAACATAAATTTATACTTAGAGATAAAATTAAATTAGAAATAAATCAACAATGAACAAAGCAACTAACAGATTAATCTGGGACTATTTTGATATTAATGAAAATAATCAACATAAACAACATTACCAACAAATTAACAACACAATATCGCATAATTTTAAGGGCTTTTTATTTTTATTGCTTAGCCGTTCTAAATAATAAGTAAATTTAGTTCAAGTTAATATTTCAATATTTGCAATATAATAAAGAAATGATGTTTAATGTTGAACTTTTTATTTAATTATTTATTTTTTACCTACATTTGTTATAAAAAACTTTCAAACCCCCGTTATTAAAATAATTTGTTTTAAATATATTTCAAAGTGACTATTCAAACTAATTTTTTTCGCTTGACTTCCCAAACTTCATGCAAAAAAATTTGAGACAAAATATTGTCAAACCAAATAAAAATGCTGTTACTAATTTTATAAGGGTAACTAATGTAAAACAATTTTTTATCAGATTCTTGATTGAGATAATAAATATTCATAATTTATAAACATTAAATATATGGCACAATAACAATTTATAGCAACAAACCAGCATAAAATATTTGAGGTTTTTAATATCTTTTTAAATGTTAAAAATAGAAAAAAAAAACTAAACAAATAATCAAAAAAAGTTCAAATAAAAATAAATAAAAATATTTCCAGAGTTTTATTTGTTAAAAGTCTACCGTGACGTCAAATACTAAAACTTTTATGAATTAAACGCGCTTCAAAGGAATCGAAAAGTCTGTAGATTGCGACGTATAACTTAAAGACTCAGAGTTTTTGAAAAAAATGGAGAAGGCGAGCTTCGGCTAAAACAACAACATTAGTTTTTCTTGGTATGCATTCATTATTTATTTTAATCAAAAAAACTTGGTTCAAACCCTTTTTTTTAACATTATCTTTAATATGAACACAACATATGTTGGGAGTTTGGGATCCCTTTAAAGTTGTCAAGCAATACCACGGAGATATTGATGATTTAATATTTCATAAAATTTTACAAATTTCCAATATTATTAAAAGTAATTGTAAAGAAACTACTTTGACACATTTATTCAAATGAGTAAATGTGTCAAGTTGATTATGGACGAGCATTTAACTAGGAACTTCACACCTACCTAAATGTGTCTTGTTATGGACGAGCATTTAACTAGGAACTTCACACCTACCTCACATTGAATCCTGCATCTCTTGCTTTTAAAGCAAGTGCTCTTACCAATAAACCTCGGCATTTTTCAAATAAAATACATTAAAAAATAAAAGATTTTTTAAAACCTAAATTTCTTCCATAAGAAACTTTATAAATATTCATAGAAAAATGTAGATGCTATTATTAGTTTTATAAGGACTAACCATAACTTAAATATTTGACAAAAAAATTTAGGGATAAAAATGTTTTAAAAATCTAAAAATGTTTTAAATCTAAAATTTCTATTTTTTTATACTCTATATAAAAAAATCATGTAGATTTTTTAAATAGGTCACCAATTACTGGATTTGTATAATTATTAAATACATCAGCAGTGATCAGCAGACATTTACCTTTTTTATAAAATGATATAAAACTAAAAAACAACAATAAAACTTACAATTAATGATAAGCTCAAATGACTGATTACTCTTTGTATATCCTATTGAAGCAGAACACATATATAAACCTGCATCAAATACTGAAGCATTTTTTATGTAAAGCGTATACTCTGTATTTAAACTATTTTTTGTTGTTGCCTTCGTTATATAGCGGTCAGTAGAATTTATCAAGGTGTCATTCACAAACCATGTAACATTTGCCTGTGGTTTACTTGTTATAGTACAAGAAATATAAGCTAATTCATTTACAATAGCAGTTGTTTTCTGATTGATATCATTAAATCTTGGTTCCACTAAAAAATACAATTTTATTCATTTTGATTAAAACAACTTTATAATATATATTCATGTAAATAACAAACAACAAAGCTAATACATTTCATATTCATATAAAAAACGAATAAATACAATCTCTATTTATTCTAAAAGATATATATTATATTTGTATAAATTTTAAATAAAATAATTATAATAAAAATATATATATATTTTAAATACATTAAAACATTTATTTAATTGAATAAAATGTTAGTTTTATTGTATTTTTTAAATTAATTTGTTCAGAATTTATAAGAAAAAGTTTTGCCATATTTATTTTGATTATTCTGTTTAGAACTTAAACTATTTTTTCCTGATATTATTTTAACTATTTTATTTAGAATTTGTTTTGTTTTGTAACAGTTAAAATTATTATATTTAGTAAAAGTTGAAAATATTTTATCCAAAATTTAAATAAAACTTTAGTTTTTTTATTTTTATTTTAACAACTTTAATACAACATTCGTTTTATCATTTTAAGTATTTTACTTAAAATTTAAATAAACCGTTTACTTTGCTGTTTTTAATATATATATATATATATATATATATATATATATATATATATATATATATATATATATATATATATATATATATATATATATATATAGTATACCCTTGGAATTGGGGTCTCTGCAATGGACTTGACAATTTTTTTAGGTCGGCAATTTTCTACCAACCTCAGGATTTAAAAACTCAGGATTTTATTTGCTATTTTAAATAAATTAAAAATGGCAAAGCAAACTTTATATGGTTGGCATATCTAATTTTGAATAGTGTTTCACCTATACCGACATAAAATTTATTGACAGGAGTGTTAGTAGGATCATTGGAAGTAAATAATAAAGGGCAGGAATTTTTATTAGGACAGTTGCAGTTGGTTTTAGCTAGAATTTTTGTTGTTGTTAATGTGTTGATTGCATACATTTCAAATAGATTTCATATTTGTTTGTGATTTATTGGGAAGTGTTTGTTTATTAAAGTTAAAAGCTATCTTTATTAGTCATAAAATTTTAGCTGTAAAGAGGGTTAAACCAAAAATGTTGCGTTTACGGTTCTTGATATGAGGTAAATTTAAATTAGAGTAATATGAAAGTTTGTGATTAAAACAGGATCTTAACAGTGCGTCATTGTGTATAAGAGTAGACCTTTGGAAAATTTCTTCATTTGACGAAT